AAACCTTACTTGTTAATCAGGGTAGCAGCTTTTACAATTAGTATAGGTAATGCATATATTGGATCAAGCATAGATGAAGGACTGATCTGGTGGAATTTACAGTCATAAAGACTGTGAAAGTCACCTGTGATGCAGTATCTAATGAAAAAAATTTCTCTTTGTAACATTTGTCAAGTCATCATAACTGTAGCAGGAAGGTGTGATGGTTTTTATAGAATAATCTTTGATAAGCCATTTGTCCAGAATATACGGAGGACAATGATCCATAAACCTCTCTACCTATATTTATCCATAAACCTTGTAACAAGCCTAAGTTTGATTAAAGTTGACGAAATGCTCTGCTGTCAACGCAGCAGGCCTTCCAAGTGATTGCTGTGGGATTCATGCATTGTCTTGCTCATCGCAACACGTGATCTATGGATTCTCCTGCAGATCCTCTATAGATCTCATCATTGTTCTCGTGCGCAAGCTCCTGGAAGATTAAAGGAACACTATAGTCACCTAAACAACTTTATCTTAATGAAGCTGTTTTATTGTATAGATCATGCTTCTAAGGTTTCATTGCTCAACTCACTGCCATTTAGGGGTTAAATCATTGTGTTTCTGTTTATGCAGCCCTTGTCACACCTCCCTGGCTCTGATTGACACAGCCTGTATGAAAAAAACTGCTTTCACTTTCAATCAGATGTAATTTACCTTAAAAAATTGTATCTCCTTCTCTGTAAATTGAACTTTAATTACACACAGGAGGCTCTTGCATGGTATAGCAAGATGTTAACATAGCAGGGGATAAGAATATCTAAATTAAACAGAACTTGCAATAAAGGAAGAATAAACTTTACAGGAAGTGTTTAGGACGGCTGTGCAAGTCACATGCAGGGATGTGTGACTAGGGTCCATAAACAAAGTGATTTAACTCCTAAATGGCAGGGAATTGAGCAGGGAGGCTTCAGGGACATGATCTATACACTAAAACTGCTTCATTAAGCTAAAGTTGTTTTGGTGACTATAGTGTCCCTTTAAGTACAAAGATCTAAAGAGGATCCCAAGAATGCAGATGGTGGCACCTGCAAGGGACGACTTAAGGCACATATAACAAGCTTTGACTGCAACCCAAGGCCATTGGACTCTAACAGGAGTTATTTATTTATAAAATATTTTACCAGGAAAGATACATTGTGATTTCTCTCGTTTTCAAATATGTCCTGCGTCCACAAATCATTGCATTGTTACAATTAGGGTACAATAAAATACAAAAACAATATTAATACACAATAAATACAAAATTTAACATAGGTCATGCAGGAAATATATAATCAACCACGACAGGTGCATTCTGTTTTGAGGTATGTAGAGAGGGATCTCTTCAAGGACTTTAGGCTTAGGGAAGATTTTAAATTGTGCGGGAGGTTGTTCCACAATTGTCACATTTCATGTACAAAGTCTTACAGAGAAGACATAACATGCAAAATTCAGTTTAGAATTGTGGTGACTCCTAAATAGTGAATTATGTTCAACATAGAAACATAGAAACATAGAATGTGACGGCAGATAAGAACCATTCGGCCCATCTAGTCTGCCCAATTTTCTAAAAACTTTCATTAGTCCCTAGCCTTATCTTATGGTTAGGATAGCCTTATGCCTATCCCATGCATGCTTAAACTCCTTTACTGTGTTAACCTTTACCACTTCAGCTGGAAGGCTATTCCATGCATCCACTACCCTCTCAGTAAGTAATACTTCCTGATATTATTTTTAAACCTTTGTCCCTCTAATTTAAGACTATGTCCTCTTGTTGTAGTAGTTTTTCTTCTTTTAAATATAGTCTCCTCCTTTACTGTGTTGATTCCCTTTATGTATTTAAATGTTTCTATCATATCCCCCATGTCTCGTCTTTCCTCCAAGCTATACATGTTAAGATCCTTTAACCTTTCCTGGTAAGTTTTATCCCACAATCCATGAACCAGTTTAGTAGCCCTTCTCTGAACCCTCTCTAAGGTATCAATATCCTTCTGAAGATACGGTCTCCAGTACTGTGTACAATACTCCCAAGTGAGGTCTCACCAGTGTTCTGTACAATGGCATGAGCACTTCCCTCTTTCTACTGCTAATACCTCTCCCTATACAACCAAGCATTCTGCTAGCATTTCCTGCTGCTCTATTACATTGTCTGCCTACCTTTAAGTCATCAGAAATAATCACCCCTAATCCCTTTCCTCATATGTTGAGGTTAGGACTCTATCAAATATTCTGTACTCTGCCCTTGGGTTTTTATGTCCAAGATGCATTATCTTGCACTTATCCACATTAAATGTCAGTTGCCACAATTCTGACCATTTTTTAGTTTACCTAAATCATTTGTCATTTGGCTTATCCCTCCTGGAACATCAACCCTGTTACATATCTTAGTATCATCAGCAAAAAGACATACCTTACCATCAAGACCTTCTGCAATATCACTAATAAAAATATTAAAGAGAATGGGTCCAAGTACAGATCCCTGAGATCATTTTCGCTATGCTGATGTCCCAGTGTACCATAAAACCTGTCCATTAATTTTGTGACTTCTGTGCCCATGCTCCTCAGAATGGAAAAGATGTGCAAATTAACAATAATATCTAAAAACCATGGTATAAAATTCAAGCTGAATTAAAAGGGTAATGAACACAGTCAACACACCACTTAGTCAAAGAACTTTAAAATAACAAGTGGTATATTTCTATTTTTGGAATAAATTCAAACATGGTCCTTTTTCTCTTTACGAATACTCTTTCTAGCAGTGTTCTCATACATGTGGTTAAAAGAATATCTTTGGAAAATTTCTGTACTCAGGAAATAGATGTGCTCACTGACATTTGGCATTTTGTAACAGTATATCCCATTATACAAGCTCTCTTAGAGACAGAACTAACAAAACAGAAAAGACTGATAATCACCCTGCTGTGGCTGTTGCCTTTTACTCAGTGGCATACTGAGGGGGGAGGAGAGGGTGGACTTTGGTCATCCACTCCTCCTCCAGCCCATACGGTCTGTAAGTAAGATAGAGAGTGTGTGTGTTGACTGTCTGCCTGTAACTCTGTGTGTGTGTGTGTGTGTGTGTGTGTGACTGTGACTGTCTGTGAATCTGTGTGTGTGTGTGTGTGTGTGACTGTCTACCTGTAACTGTGTGTGTATGTGTTTGTGTGACTGTCTGCCTGTCACTGTGTGTGTGTGTGTGTGTGTGTGTGTGTGTGTGTGTGTGCGACTGTCTGTCTGTGACTGTGTGACTGTCTGCCTGTGACTCTGTGTGTGACTGTCTGTGTGTGTGTGTGTGTGTGTGTGACTGTCTGGCTGTGACTGTGTGACTGTCTGCCTGTGACTCTGTGTGTGACTGTCTGCCTGTGAGTTTGTGTGTATGACTGTCTGCCTGTGTGTGTGACTGTCTGCCTTTGAGTGTGTGTGTGTGTGTGTGTGTGTGTATGACTGTCTGCCTTTGAGTGTGTGTGTGTGTGACTGTCTGTCTGTGACTGTCTGTGTGTGTGTGTGTGTGTGTGTGTGAGACTGTCTGCCTGTGACTGTCTGTGTGTGTGTGTGACTGCGGGACTGCCTGCCTGTAACTGTGTGTGGCTGTCTTCCTGTGACTTTGTGTATGTGTGACTGTCTGCCTGTAACTGTGTGTGTGTGACTGTGTGTGTGCGTGATTGTCTGCCTGTGACTGTGTGTGTGTGACTGCCTGCCTGTAACTGTGTGTGACTGTCTGCCTGTGACTGTGTGTGTGTGTGTGTAATTTTCTGCCTGTGACTCTGTGTGTATGACTGTCTGCCTGTGACTGTCTGTGTGTGACAGGGTGCCTGTGAGTGTGTGGCTGTCTGCCTGTGGTTGGGGGATGCTGCCTATAACTGTGAGTGTATGTGTGTGTATGTGACTATCTGCCTGTGACTGTGTGTACATGACTGTCTGCCTGTAATTGTATGTGTGAATGTTTGTAACTGCTTGTGTGACTGTCTGTAACTGTGTGTGTGACTGTGTGCAAGTGATTATGTGCCTGGGACTGGACTCTGAAGACTGTTGCTAATATTGTTGTGTAAAAAAAAATGAATTATATTGTAAAGGGCTGAGCAGGGGCTTTAGAGGGAAAGGCAGGTTTTGTTGGGAAGGGGGGTTGGGGGCAGAGGTTTTATGAAAGAGGTGTGCAGGGGTTTGTAGAAGGGGGACAGGGATTTTGTAGAAGGGGGGCTGAGCAGGGACTTTGTGGAAGGAGAGTGCAGGGGTTTTGTAAAACAGGGCAGGACATACGTTGTACAAAACGCATGAGAGGGAAAGGGGTTTTGTGGAAGGGAGCAGGACAGGACAGGGTTTTTCAAAATTTACACATTTGTGCAAAGTTTAAAACAAAAAATCGTGTTTTTTTTACATTTTAAAGTGTGGGGGTGGGGAAGGGGGGGCGCCAAACCCAGAATCCTCCCCGTGTGCCAAATACTCTAGGTACGTCCCTGCTTCTACTAGCAGACACTATCAGACCAAATGCCCTGAAATCAGTAAAGAATGTGGAGGAACCAATTAATAGAGAGTTACATTGATCCAGGAAATGATCAGAGCTTGAAGCTCCTTACTAGCATATTGAGTAGGAAAAGGGGGAAAGTGAAAGTAATGTTTTTTTAAGGTGAATATGGCAGTATTTGGTGACAGAGTATAACACCAAGGCAGTAAGCTTAGAAGAATTAGTATAGCTGCCTTTGGATTAAACCATGAATTGGTTGTTACCTACTTTTTTTGGAGCAGTTTGCAATAAAATGTCGGGGAGGACCCAGATTGAAGAGTCGATAAAATAGATCTGGTGAGTGCAGACAAGTTGTTCAGAAAGTGTTAAGGTAAAAGGATCTAAGGATAAAAAACTGTAGTCATGTTCACTCTGGCTACTTGGAGGGCAGTGACAGAGATGGCAGAATTAGAAGCTTCCCACAGGGAAGCTAAGAGAGAGACACCTGTTTTCTGGACAATCTCATGGTTAAAGACCGTGTTTAAAAAGTTTGGCAATCCTGGCTGTATTGCAATGGGCTAGGCTTGTAACAGTCTAACCTGTTCATGGTAAACTTGTGGCAAGCAGAGGGATGTCCCTTCTCTGTTAATGGGTGCAAAACCTCCAGGACCCATTTTTTATTGGAAGACTGCATCTGATCTGCAAGGATAACTGCATGGAACAGTCCAAATGCTTGGCGAAGAAGGCAACCTTGAACAATCTGCTGAAAGGCAGAGGACAAGTTGACAGACTTGCTGATAGCCAATCTGATAGAAGATGACAGGTAAAGCAAAAGCCCTGGGGAAAGTGACTTCTGCAGAGAGGTTAGAGAATGTCTGTCCCTCTGTGGGCCCAATCTCCGCTTGGAAGTGGTGAGGCAAGTAAATGCAGAGGTCACCAAATTGCAGGAAGAAGAGCTAATCTACCAGATGCAGTTAGTCAAGATCCAGAACTAAGATAAAGAAAGGGCCCATCAACTACAACCAGCAGATATCCAAAATAGACAAGGGTGAACTGGAATGATACTACAAGCAGTAGGAAGAAATTACCCTTCAGTGCATTTTGAGTATTATTTATATTGTTGCTTCTGTCAGCAGTGAAGGCACGTTAGGAGTAATTGTCTATCATGCAAGATGTGCAACCAGAGGCCATTGAATAGGGGAAGGGTAGTGAGGGAGTGTGCCCATTGCACAGAAGGTCCAACACTACAGCTCAGTTGGAGTACAAACCAGAGCCAATATCCATGTACAAATTCTGACCTGTTACCACCTATCAGAGAGGTGGTGTGGTCCATCTTAGGTGAAGTAAATCATGTACTATGTTACCCAATGGTGACATTGTCTGCAGACCTTTGTGCTGAAAGTTTAATCACTTGTGTCTATCATCCAAAAGTGTATTTTTAAAGATAAAGACTTGACTCTTGCCTGAAAGAAGAAAAAGTAATCAGAAGAGATATCTGCCTGTCTAGTAGGTAGAGGACAAGACCAGTCCCTGAAGAATTGTGGGGGAGGTATCTGGTGTCAGTGGAGAAGGGACCGATGATGCAGCAAGATGGGTCTGGATCCCAAGCTGGGGACCAGTGTACTTTATTCCTGTTACATTTTTCTGTTTAGCAAAATACTTGCACAAGTCAGCCTAGTGAATTTGCAGGAATTTCCGCTGTGACTACAGTTCTAAACACTTCTCACCACACATTTATCTAGAACACTAGAGAACTGAAATTATGTGAACATTAAATTATCAGGGACAGTTCCTGAAATTGCTATAAAACCTGTAAATCATTACAGTGTCAAGTAAAGTAAAGGTATGCATGCATGTGGAAAATGTACTACTTGTAATCTTCCATTCACTGGAGTGTACTCTACTCATATATCGAAATGAGCAAGACCACCACTGATGGTCAAACAGAGTTTGAGGGAAACATGCAGCTCTTTCAGAGATATCAGTTGTTTCCTGATGGATGAAGAAATCACGACAAAATGATCAAAGTCTGGCAGGGCCGGTGCAAGGATTTTTGCTGCCCTAGGTGTAGAAAATTTTGCCGCCCCATTCGTTCCACACACTCCTGCAGACTTACATACACTGACCCATACACATACACGCTGACCCATACAGACACACACACTGACCCCCACACATACACATGCGCTCACACTGACCCCCCTCCACACACACACTGACCCATGCAGACACACGCCGACCCATGCAGACACACGCTGACCTATATACACAAACACACCCATACTGTCACAGGTGGCAGTCCGAAGACAGGGACCCCTGAATGCCTGATGATGTTGATAGGAGTCACAGCGGGAAAATGGACAGTCAGTGTCTGGTGCAGGGTAACCATACGCTCCCTGGTGTTGAGCACCAGGGTTTGTGCGGAAACATACCAGAGCCCTGACGAAGCTTTGGCGGATTCCCAGCTGCTAGATGATAATATGCAGACCTCGCAGTACTCCCAGTGCAGCAGATATGTATCCAGTACTAGAAAAAGGCAAGACTAGAAAAGGCACCAAACACGATAAGACAAGACTAGAAGAACCCAGAACCGGAGCAGGACAGAAAGCAGAACCCAGAACATGTACACAATACATGAGGGAAACATGAACAGGACAGGAAAGGACTGTATATCAACTGGGAATACAAGACAAATAAAACAAGACATAAGATACAAGGCAAAACAAGAGGAGACATAACTAAGTACTATATATGTAATAAACATTGGAGATTGAGACATACATAAGTGGCCAAGATGTATGCAGCCCACCACTGCGCCAAAGTACTTCAATTACGGTGGGTCCTAACTGCCTAGATATGCATGACTAAATGTACAACAATAAAACACACACAGTACTTATCTGCAAGGAAAGGAGCAGAGGAAATGAGACCACTGCTAGCAGGAACAGACTGAAACAAAAAGGAATAAATGGCAAAGGAACAGGTGTGGCAACAAAAAAACAAACATATAAGGGAAACCAAGAGACTGGAAATTCCAGGAACGGAATAAAGGAATGAACCCAGAAAACCCAGCATAAAGAAAACCAGATATAGAATAGAAAACCAGAAAAAAAGAAAAACTGAACAAGAATTGTAAAAAGAGTACTGGATAACAGAAGCCAAGGCCAGAAATATCCGCTGAATGGAACAGGACGTGACAAATACATGCACACACACTGACCCATGCACACATGCTGACCAATAAAAAGGGGTTCTGACTTAGCAGGCTGTGCTGAATGCTGTACCGACATTTTACCGGGCACTAGTCTACAAGTAAGTGCTCCACAGCGCCCGGTAACGCAGCCGGTGGCCACCGCGGCCAGCTTTATATAATCAATCCTACTTGATAGGGGGGTGGCCAGACAAGCAGTAAAGCCACTGTTGGCGCCCCCCTTAAGTAGGCACCCTAGGCGGTGGCCTACTTAGCCTATAGGATGTACCGGCCCTGAAGTCTGGAAATGTTCTTCAAAGGAAAGAATAAAAATAATAAAAATAATGGGTACACATATCCAAAATAGAATCTTCTTATAAGCACCGTTAATGTGCAAATCAGAAGTCCAGCTTCTTACCTTGATTAACGGTTACCTTTTGGAATTAAGTCTTTTTATTTTTCTCTGATTTGGTTAAATTATTATTGCTATTTTAGCTTTTAGAATTCCTTTACAGACTAAAATGTATGCAATGAATTCTGATCTCAACACTATGAAAATGTTCTTTCTTTTTTAATTGCTGCCGTAAATTGGATATATAATACATTGAAGAAATACATTTTAAATAATTGTACAAATTGCATTGCCTAGGTTTGCCAAATTGTGACAGAAGCAATTAGCTAAATGTGCAAAGTTCTATTAATGTATTTTACAAAAATAAAACGTCTCTTAAAAAAAAATCTCTCTTCAAATATGTTAAAATTAAATAGGTAAAACTGCTTTGTACATTTGTCTATGCTGATTTCACAAAAGGCTATATTGTGTGTAAAATACACAGTGTTCCTGCAGACGATTGTAAATCAAACTCATTAATACCCCATCACTCAAACAGCTTCTGACAAGTTCGACTGATAACATCAGCTCAAGTAAACTGGAGGAGCCACAAAACCTTCCTGATTGCTGACAAAATATTGCAGCACCATCTGTGGAGTATCAAAAATTAGATACTGCCATATTCCGTGGGTCCAAGAGGTGAACTTTGTCTTGAAGCCAAAACAAAGAGACCTTTTAGGACTTAACAATAAAGAGTGCATAGACCTTTCAGGTAGTCTGATGACTGTTATAATTAAATATGGTAACGGACAGCTACATTCTTTTTGAAAACATAAACGCTATTGATACACCATTTTAAACACAGTCCAGATTTCTTGGCTCATTAACTGGAAACTATAGTTAATTTCAAATTAATTCATTTCGAAAGGACATTTTGTAAATGACACAGAACTTACTGAGAAAATATCCATACTTCGGTTAAGATATTTAATAGCAAATATCCTTCTCACTTTTTATTTCCTGCTGGGCTCAAAAGGTGCTCTCAAAAAGTCTTCCTCCTGTCAGATGTCTAGATAAATTGTACTTGCTCCCCCCCTGCTCTTTTTTTTCTGAATACAATGATGTCAGTGTTTACATATATATTTGCAAATGGTAGAGTGTTTTCATATGGAAACAACTTGGGTTTGAGTCATATTTTCCGTTAAATGGAGCATTTTCTTTTAAATTTATATCAATTGATCCCGTTACATCAAAATCCTGTTCAGTCCAGGCTCAGCCAGTGCAAATCAGGAAGAGAAATATAAACTTTGATTAATCGTTCCACCTCTCTGTATGCTTTTGCAATGCGTGACAAAGGCCCTTAGGGGTCGAAACGTTGCTGTTTGGTTCCTTGTTCCAATAAAGATTGCCTATATTTTGGAATTCGTTGGAGTGCCTGGATTATTTTCTATATTCAAATGCTTTTGCAATGCTGACTGCCAGGTACAAAGGGCAGAGCTTATAACAATGATTAAGAGAAAATTAAGATGGAGGCGCTCGGTACAAAATAATGAGGTGTGGATTTCTACTTTTAATTGTATTTATCCCATATCACTAGTACATATTTGTTAATGAAAGTTGATAAGTAAACATAATGTTAAAATTCCTGGGAGGTGACAGATCCCTTTTAAGTTACAGTAAAAATATTGTTGATATGATGGCCAATATGATGCCATTTGCTAGTTTCCTATAGGTGGAGGTACCTTCCAGTGTGTACTCATTCAATAGTGGTTAGCCTATCTAAAGAAATCTGTTGAAAAAAATATTTACCAATATGCCATAGATGATTTTCAGTGTTGTAGTCAATGGTATTATTTTCTGAGAATTGATAGGGAAGAACCACTGTAATATAATTGATTATCAATATATTAGTAATGACGTTTTCTTGCCATTAATTTACTTTAGTGTATTAACATAGTATGCAAAACCAACAGAAGGATCAGCACTAAATGACCAAAAAAGAAATGAATTATAGTGGTTAAGACAGCACAGCTAATATCGATGGGGCTCCATCACAATCCCCAAGATAGGAATGCAAAAACAAAAACAGAATAGGTTGCACCCAATATTAGTAATATTTAAAACAATTATATATGTTAATAATACAAAGCAATACGAAAGTCCAAACTTTGAGGTGCAGCTGGTACAATAGTAGAGACCTTTTAAGAATTATTTTCTTGTAGGGATAATGGAATCCCTTAAA